TTGTAGTGTAGGGCTTTGAAGTTTGAACTTTGAAGTGGATTTTGTTATTTGTTAACCAATAAACCAAAACAATAGAAATTGAAAGAAGACAGAAGTTGATCGATACTTGCTTCAAGTCTTCAAGAGAACGATAGATTGAGACATTGAGTGATTGAATATTGTTGAAATCGATCAAGGATTGTGATGGATCCAACAATGAAATCGATCGAGGACGAAGGATTGTGAGTTCACGAGTCCGACAGGTGACAGTAGCCAAGGCACGATCGAAGGAATTTTGGACGCAGGATCAGGAAGTCAAGTTGTCGATGTCGATTCTGTAATCGTAATCTTTTTTTCTTTTTTTCCTTGTACCGATAATACACAATTAAACACTCAATTAATTAGGATTGGGCTATCTTTTTTACAAGCAATTAGCCCAATTGCTAATTTATCCAATTAAGTTTTACTTTGGGCTTTGGGCAATTGGACTATTCGACAATAATTGATTAAAACATTGAGCATTTGGGTTCGTTATTATTTTTTTTTTGTTTCGTAATTCCCGATAGAGTGACAATATTTTTTTTATGTAGTTGCACAAAATTTTTTTAGTAGTTGCACGATTTTTTTTACGTAGTGGTACAATAGATAAAAATTAAAAAAAAAAAACGAAATTTTTTCTACTATGTGCGCGGAAGCTAGGTGTTGCCGGTGCCACACCGGGCACGTAGCTAGGACCGCCCCTGATTATGGGTGTGCTATGTTTAACTCGAGATTAATTGATAAAATGGTGATGCTCTAGAAAACTTCTTGCAACTTGTGATGCTCGATTTCAAGTTGAATAGACGAATTTTAGATACTCGGCTATATAATAAAACTAAAGAATTGAGATCGGTTGATTTTTTACCTGTAGGATCGTAAGATAAAATCAAGATTTTAGCAACCTTGGTATTACTACAATAGTCTAATATTTGATTGAAATAATTTAATAAAGATAAAATAGAGTTTAAATAATCTTTGACGTATTTAACATATTTTTCTCCTAGGTTTCGTTTCTTGATATCGCTAGATAATAAACTTGTGGCCCAAATATATCTAAAATTCTTAATATCCAATTAGCGGCCCAAAACAGCCCGTCATACAGCTAGCTTTAAATACATAAATGCATTTTTGCCCAAAACCGTAACCCTAAAATTACCATCGTGTCTGCCATTCTTGCATTTCAACGAACGAAATCGATATCGGAAGGCAGCAAACGACATCAGATTCAATATGGGTAAGCTTAACCATCCTCAGTCTCTTCCTTCCTATCGATTAAGATTTCTGTAAATTGTTTCATAACTGAAACTTCCGATCAATGAACTTTAACAGGAAAGGTTCACGGATCTTTGGCTCGTGCCGGAAAAGTGAGAGGGCAAACCCCTAAGGTAGCAAAGCAAGACAAGAAGAAGCAGCCTCGCGGCCGTGCTCACAAGCGTATTCAGTACAACCGCCGTTTTGTCACCGCCGGTAAGTTTCTCATCGCCTGCCGGTTATTTGGATAATCCGATATAGTTATGCTAATTGATTTATCTGTCAAGTTCTAAAAGTTTTAATTTTTAATCAGTTTTGATATTAAATGTATGAACATTGATAGAGCAATTTCACTGATCTTGTTTATGTTGCTGTTAATGGCAACAAATATCATCGACTACGTTTCTAATTCGAGCTGTGGAATTATTGCTTATGGTTTTGCAGTTGTTGGTTTTGGAAAGAAGAGGGGACCAAATTCATCTGAGAAGTAAGCTCTGATGGATTGTGTAGTTTTGTAAGCTTAGTTTGTTTGGATTGTTTTTACATTGCTATCATGTTATTTTAGACAGTCTTTATTATGATGATCACAATGTTTCTACTAAAACCTAAAATTCAATGAAATGTTTTGAGTTTAATGTTTGATATTGTTATTCTTGAAATTTATATTGGGTATACATTGTTCAAAAAAACGATGTATTGTTGAAAAAAACGATGTTCTGTTCATCAGTCGATTTTTGAATGTTGCTTGAAATTAGCTTGGATTCTTTACATTTGTATAGCCTTATTGTGTGTATGTAATACAGTTAGGTTAATACTTTACATTTAGGGCAAAAAGCAAATACGGCAAATCTATTTAAATAAATAAAGAAATGTTAAAAATTGTTTTTTTAATCATCATATAATACAAGGGTTGGTCTTTTGACGTGCAAACCCTGAGTATTATCCCGACTAGTTATGTGGTTGTAGTTTGGCAGTTTAGAAATATCAACCTAAACCTGGGTTTTGTGTGTGATATGTTGAGAATTGTCATGTTAGATTTAGGTTTTGTGTGTGCCGTGTTGATAATTGTCATGTTAGATTTACACGTAACTATTGAATACCTGCAATACCATTGAAACAATTTTATTTTTATCTTCATTGTGATTGTGATGTAAATATATATCAGTCTTAGGTCCTGTTTGATTTGCGTCTTTCCAGCTCCAAAAAGATATTTCTGGCTGAATGGCCGGAAAGACCGTTTGATTTGCAAAAAAAAAACTTGTCTTTGCCGATAAGATGGGTCTTTCCCACAAAGCCACAAAACCCAATCCAAATGAAAAATACACTCGCTTTGGACAAATGTTCCCTAAAAAAAACGCCTCGTTCGTCTGCATCATCAGCCTTCATCGCTCTTTCCTTTGTCGGACCAGACGTCGTCGTCCCTTTTTATATTCCTTTTTATATAAACCAGCAACCACCACCAAACCCCTATTGCCTTCCTTTTTCGAAATCGCTGCTGCCCTTCCCTTCGTTTCCCGTTCACCGCCGGAGAGAAGGAAGAAGCGGCGAAGCCACCTGCTGTCGTTGGGATTCCCACCATCACGAACCACCTGTTGCTGTTACTGCCTTGTTGTCGCTGCCACTGTCGATTAGTCATCCCCATTCCTGCTAGTGCCGCTTTCCCACCGTTTTCCTTCTTTCCTTGCACCGAGAGCAACCCCAACCGGTGGAATTGCTATTGTGACCACCAAGAAACGCTCCCATAGTCACCACCGTATCTTCCCTCTAGTTCAAAAGCGTTTTCTTCTACCTATTAATTTTGACCAAGTCAACTGATCCAAGAACCATAACTTTGAATTAATTTAAACACTAATTTAAACACTTTTAACCCCTCTTTTATTTATTTTAATCAAAATGAATCCACTCCATAAAACTTTGAATATATATCCTATTTTTTGTGCATATATGCTTAATTTTTTATATATGTGTTGTTTTTTTAATATAAACATGTCAGAAAGGGTAATATGGTTATTTTTCATTATTCAGCATAGTTAGTAAGACGTACAATCAAACAACATGATTTTTTCTCGGTCAGAAAACTTTTCCAAACAACACTTTCCCAGACAACAACTATCAAATACCTTATAAATTATGATTGTGATGAAAATATATACTAGTCTTACTTTTATCTACATTGTGATTGTGATGAAAATATATATATATATATATATATATATATATATATTAGTCTTACTTTTATCTACGTTGTGGTTGTGGTTGTGGTTGTGGTTGTGG